TGGTGAGGTCCCAGCAGGCCCCCCCTGCTCCAGCACTGACTTCAGCCACTGGTCCCAGCTGGCAAGTACTCCCGTTGTGTTGGAGCAGCTGCTTGGCCGGTGCCTACAAGGTGACTTTTGCTGGGGACCCACCTCCTCTTAGTGCTAGGGTCATCCATCTCCACCTGGCCCCAGAGCATGTGGGAGAAGTCCCTGAGGCTCCTGGCTCTGTCCCCTGCAGGTCCCTGGGCAGGGTTGGGGGTGCAGTGGGTGCTGGTGGGGGGGTGCCTGCCTAGAAGGGTGCTTGGGCACAAGACTGTACCTGGGGATGCTGGGCTAGCAGATACTTCTTAAAAACCTTAATATCTCCTCAGCTGTGGGGAGGCACTTGCAGTTGACAGCCTTTGGGTGGGACTGCAGTCAGCAAATCTCCCCAATGATGAGTGAAAAGAAAGCAGACTAACGAACCTTGCTCATTAGCAAGCATCCTTTTGGCCTATTCCATGAAGGTGTCAGGGAAGGGGTACCCAGCCTTTGCCTCCCCAGCTCCCATCTCTGGCCCTCTGCCCTGCAGGCTCTGGTGCCCTGGCTGAGCATGGGTTATTTATGGGTTATTTAGCACCTTCTCCTCACAGCTGCTTTGTTTTTAACACCTCCAGGAGGAAGATCCAGACTCAGAAAATGAGAAGCTGGTGGTGAAAGAGCCGGAGGATGAGGATGGTGAGTGCCAAGCAAGCCAGCACCCTGTGGGGAGGGTATGGATGGGTTCAGGGGACTGAAAGGCTGAGGGCTGTGCATGGACTCCTTCCTCCAGGACATGCAAAGGAGATTCCTGCCCTGGCAGCAGCCCCTGTTTGCTTCCCCAGATGCCCTTGGTCTGTTTGCCGTGGGGTAGGTTTGTGATGCAGCTGCCCCAAAACCTCCTTCCTCCCATCCAGGAAAATCTCCAGGAGCTTTAGTCAGACCTTTGTTTAACTGAGAGCCAATTAGTTGATTGGAAAATGATTAATTGACTAATTTGGGTGACAACTGCTGTGCTCCTAAGAAAATGAAACAGATGGTGCCAAGCAAGAGTGTGTGTCTGAAGGGGACTCTGCTCTCCTGAGCAGCTCTGGAGATGTTGGGATGTCCCCAGGAACCCCTGCCCGGGGTGGCCGTGGGCAGCTGGGGCAGCAGGAGAGCTTGGGGTGTTCCCCCTTCCCTGCCCCACTTTCCGCTTGCCCTTTTTAAGGCGCTATGTGGCAATCCCCTGGCTCGGGAGGATTATGCCTAATGCTACAGAGAATCCAATTTTAATCCTGGTGCTGTGCCCACAAGGTGCAGGAAGCACCTTTGGAGATGGGATTCCCAGAAGACACATATTCCACCCTGTTAGGCTTCCTCACAGCGCTGGTGATCGTGGTTGTTACTGTGCAGACCTTCAGGAGACCTGGTTTGAGGAATGATGGATGTATCCTGCCAAAGGGATGCTCAGTAACGCTGCTCTGCCAGGATCTGCCTCCTTTGGTTCAGCCTGTCTCAGGGCTGCTCCGGCACTGCTGTGCATCACCCCAAAGCAGCTGAGGCTCAGGATCAGGTGGTGACAATCCCTGTCCATGGGTCATCACTAGCCCAGCATTCTTAAGCATCTCCTGCAGACAGCCACTGACTCCTCTCCCCAATTATTTACACCATTTCTGAGGTCTTTTATAACAGGGCTGGGTAAAGCTCAGCCTGATGAGCCTACTCCGCTCTCCTAAGGCCCCACCTGGAGTACTGTGTCCAGTTCTGGACCCCCAACACAAGAGAGACCTGGAGCAGCTAGAACAAGTCCAGAGGAGGCCACCAGGATGATGCAAGGGCTGGAGCAGCTCTGCTGTGAGGACAGGCTGAGAGAGTTGGGGCTGTTCAGCCTGGAGAAGAGAAGGCTCCGGGGAGATCTTATAGCGGCCTCCCAGTACCTGAAGGGGCTACAAGAAAGCTGAGGAGGGACTTTTCATAAGGGCAGTTAATGACAGAACAAGGGGAAATGGGTTTAAGCCGAAAGAGGGGAGGTTTAGATGAGATATTAGGAAGAAGTTCTTCACTGTGAGGGTGGTCAGACACTGGCTCAGGTTGCCCAGAGAAGCTGTGGATGCTCCTCCCTGGAAGTGTTCAAGGCCAGGCTGGATGAGGCTTTGAGCAACCTGGTCTAGTGGAAGGTGTCCCTGCTGATGGCAGGGGGGTTGGGACTGGATGAGCTTTAAGGTCCTTTCCAACCCAAACCATTCTATGATTCTATGATGACTTTCTCAGTGGCGTGCAGCTGGGAATAGCCATGGTGCCCTGGCTTTGCTGGGGAGCAACCTCACTCCTTCCTTCACTGTTTCTCCCGCACGTTGCTTTGGTTCTGGCCAAACTCAAGCCACTGAGCTGCTGCCCAGCGAGCCTGTGAGCAGAGATTGCCCTTGGGCACACGGAGATGGGATGAGCAGTCTGTCACCAGCTTGGGATGCTGCTGCAGTGGCCAAAACCACTGGAGCAGCCTTTTCCCTGCTTCAGGCAGCAAGGCTTGCAGGGAGCTGGCAGGTACTTGCTGGGTGCACTGGGAACACTGGAGCCAGTGTGTTTGGAGCAGAGGTGCACTCGAGGGGCTGCTTGCACCCTGCGAGCCCAGGCTCACAGCGCTGGCATCGCAAGGACAGAGAGATGGAAGACAAATGTTTTCTTTAATATGAACTCACAGAGGCTCTGAGTAAGTAGGTCACCTCATATTTCTGTAATGTTTTTGCTGTCCACGTGAAAACCCGGCCTCCTCTTCCCGTGTGTTTCCTGAAGTTTGTTTTCAGGCTGCAAAGAAAGTTCCTGAGCTCAGAAAACATCCAGTGGTTTCCAAAGCCACACACTGGCTCCTTTTTAACCACAACATGTGGGCAGGGAGATGGGTAGCCTCCTCACCTCCTTCTTTCCTTATTCTTTTCTGGCAGGGTGGCAATTAAACTGCCCTTTTTGGGACAGGCAAAATCCCAAATCTCAATTTACATGGCAAAAAAAAAAAAAAAACCACGTGAGGGAAATGATCTTAATTGTCCTTGAAATCAGGCAAGCTATACAAAGGTAATGAAATGGCTCCTGCTCTGCATCAGGGTAAGAAACAGGATGTTACACCCTCTTTTTTTTTTCTTTCTCTTAATATCTCCCAGAGCAGCAGCCAGCTGAATTTTCTTTCCACTCACTTTTACAGTCACCAAAGGGCTGATAAGCCACAGCGTTACTACTTATTTCCAGCTGGCCAGACCTGCTTTCTGCTGGTTTGGAGGGTTCTCCCACTGAGGGAAGTGGGATAAGGCTGAGCTGAATATTTGGGGCTGCAGGATCGGAGCATGAGGATGCTCATGTTCGGACACTTGTGAAGACACCAGGGAAAGGATTTGCCTCATTGTTCCTCTGGGAACCCCAACGGTGTTTTGAGATTAGAGAAACACTCTGGATCAGTAACTGAGCAGTAATCCACCAGGACTTCCCAGGGAAGCTCCCCAAGATCAGGGACACAGAGGTGTAAAGAGGAGAGGAAATGTGGATATCTGCAGGGAGGAGGTTTCTGTTGCTCCAGGAACACTCCCTACACTAGTGGGCTTGGTCCCATACCTGCCCATGCAGCCTTGTGCAACTTGATTTTGAGAGCTCTGGTTACCCCATCTACAAAATAAGGCTCTGACTTTCTTTTTGCATGGGGGTCCCCAAGGTCTGCAGTACCTTGGGGACCCCCATGGTCCAGTGAGTGCATGCATGAGCTCGGGGTTGGAGAAATCACTAAATTAAGCAGTTGACCTTGGACAGGGGGAGAAAATCCTTAAGAGGAGTATTGACTGGAAAATAAAGGGAAGCTGCTGATGCTGAATCCTTTTGGGTATGAGGAAGGGAGGAGAGGGGCTGTGGGGTGTTTTTTCATTTGGGCAGTTGGAGGAGGAGATACTGTTATGAATGTGGTGCCTGCAGTAGCAGCAGTGAGGACTGCAGTGGGCTTCCCAGGTAGCTGGGGACAGGGAATAGGTTATGTAGAAGCTGGGGCTTTCTCTCCTGCCACAGAAGACAGAGGAGTTCCACTACTCTTGGGGTCTTCCTGGTGCTGGGAGGTATCATCCTGGATATTTGGTTTGTGGATAATGTGCAATTTTTCAGGGCTGTGCAGATAATACAGTAACATCATTTTTCTGTGAACCCCTCAGAAGTATCTCCGGGGCTCTGAGGGTTGGTGGAAACCACAGATGTTTCTGGGTGGATGTGGAAACAGCAATGCTTGATGGCTTGGTGTGAGGCAGCAGAATCCTGCAGTCCTTGGGAGATAAAGGCTCCCAGATAAACAGCTCCCAGATAACCAATAAAGGCAACTACCCGAAGCACGCTGTTCCTGGGCTGCCCTTTGGATTGACCTCCACGCCTGTTGTTTTCTCCCATCTGTAGGAAGATAGCACAGGAGAGAGATTTTTAAAAGCAAATAGTGCTCGAACAAAATACAATTGGAAAAGGATTGGCTTAGGCTCAGAGTCTGTGAGCTTCGGTGTGCTAATTAGCAGAGGGCTGAGGCTGGTGAGGTGGGCAGGAGAGCACCCAGTCCTGGAGGAGACCTCCGTTTCCTCTCCAGGTCTGTCGGCTGGTGACAGGGGCACCTGGAGCCAGCTGTGTTGTGCTCCTGGGGCTGCCTTGGCTCAGCTCTGTTTGCATTCCTGGGGTTTGCAGTGTGGCACCTCCTTTTTTCACAAGCTTTGCCAAAGGCTGCAGAAGAGCTGCTGGGCTGTGGGGCCAGGGACAGCTCTGCTCGTGGCACCATCCGTGAGCCCCAAGCATGGGAAAGGGCCCCTGGACAAGGAGAGGGAGAGAGGAGGAATGCAAGTCTGGAGAGGAGAAGCAGAAAATGCGGCGAGCTAATCAGGGCAGGATTAGCATGTCTTGATAAGCCAGGAAGGGCCTGCAAGGCTTTGGATGCAGAGAGAGCAATAGCATATGGTTCCCGTGCTGTAGGATTTACTTGTGTCTGCCTCCAAGCAGGGCTGCTCACTCTCCGCAGTCCTCGCCGTTTCCAGCGCTAGCTGCAGCTGGGACTTCTGTTGTCCTCTGGCCAGCAACACCTTGGCTCTCCACTGCAATCCACACAGCTTCCCCGGCACTGCTCAGGCTTCCTGGAGGCTGGAGCTGACTGTGGAAGTGTCTTTTGGGGGGGCTCTCCTCTTCTCTAAGCTAAAGAGACCCAGCTCTCTCAGTCTTTCCTCATAAGGGAGATGCTCCACTCCCTTAATCATCTTGGTGGCCCTGTGCTGGACTCTCTCCAGCAGTTCCCTGTCTTTCTTGAACTGTGGGGCCCAGAACTGGACACAATACTCCAGATGAGGCCTCACCAGGGCATGAGGCCTCACCAGGGCAATGAGGCCTCACCAGGGCAAAGTCTGCAAAGTCTGCAAAGTCTCACCAGGGCAGAATGCAAGTCTGGAGAGGAGAAGCAGAAAATGCGGCGAGCTAATCAGGGCAGGATTAGCATGTCTTGATAAGCCAGGAAGGGCCTGCAAGGCTTTGGATGCAGAGAGAGCAATAGCATATGGTTCCCGTGCTGTAGGATTTACTTGTGTCTGCCTCCAAGCAGGGCTGCTCACTCTCCGCAGTCCTCGCCGTTTCCAGCGCTAGCTGCAGCTGGGACTTCTGTTGTCCTCTGGCCAGCAACACCTTGGCTCTCCACTGCAATCCACACAGCTTCCCCGGCACTGCTCAGGCTTCCTGGAGGCTGGAGCTGACTGTGGAAGTGTCTTTTGGGGTGGCCATAGCATTTAGGGTGCGTGCGTGGGGTCAGCACAAAGCTCAAGGGAACGAGCCCACTGCTGTTGATCATTGCTCTGGGGAGGTCTCTGGCTCACACCATCTCTTGCTCTTCTTTGTCTCTCACTCTCCCGCTCTCCAGCTGCAGATGAGACGTTCTCTTTTAAATACAGTCCTGGAAAGCTGAGGGGAAACCAGTACAAGTCAATGATGACCAAAGAAGAACTTGAGGAAGAACAAAGGTAAGTTGAGTTTCCTTTTTAGTTCTTGCCCAGGACCATCTGGTTGGCATTCTCTTGCAAGCTGGGGGTGTTCAGACCTCTCTCTCCCCAAACTACCTTGGTAGCCTTGGGCTCAGTGTCTCATTGCACCATGGTGCAGACCTCTCCTACCCGGGAAAACATGAGAACAAATAAAGTCACACTGATTTAGGAGATGGAGACACTGTGGCCCTATACACACTTGGAGCTGTTCAAGCTCTTTCTTTTAGTGCTTAGACCAGATTTCCCAGCTGATGCAAGCTGGTGTAGTTCCCCTGATCCCATTAGTACCATGTTGATTTACATCTGTTGAGGACCTGATCTCTAGCTACTTCCCCTTCGTTTACCCTGTGGATGGCCTCCAAACTGAGGACATGGGCATAGCTCAGAAATACTGGAACAAACCGAGTGAGTGTGGAGCTTTAATGTTCTCTGTGATGGGACAAAGACTGGGAATGTCCATACCTAGGGCTGGCTCCTCAGCTGTAACTGATGGTGGGGATTTGCCATATAGTGGGCCTGGTAGAGAAGGAGAATTGTCCATCTTGCACTTTTGCTAAAGTTTCCTCCTGAGCTTGAGCCCTGCCTGAAGAAAGGAAGAGCCTGTCCTGTTACTGAAAATAAGCTTTCTAGCTCAAGATTCCCCAGCCAGTACAAGGGAAATCAAACCCAACCTTGCACCTCAAGCTGCAAAGCCCGATGCAAAGTCTGTGCTGTGAGTGTGAGGTCTCTGCCCATGTGTGGAAGGAGTCCTCCAGCCCATAGGCACCCAGAGCCTGTGCTAAACCAGAGATGTCAAACCCCACAGCCAAGGGCTTTGTCCTACAAGCAGGCTCTGTGGCAGGCTGCTCCCTGGCAGATGGGTGCAGCTCGTACCCCTTCCCTCTTGGGCGAGCTGCAGGGAACTGATTTCCCAGTGGTGGCTCAAGGCAAGCCTGGGAGATGTTCTCTCTGTTGATGTCCCAAGGACTGCGGGACTCAATTCTCTACCCAGTGGTGTACACCCCCTGGGATGATTTGGGGGAATTTGTCACCCCTTGCCTGTGATGCTGTGGTTTGGGTGCCACCACAACTGGCACACTATAAAGACCTGACATGGGCTAAGTGGAAACTCGAGCGCAGCAGGGAAGGCAAGGATGGAGGGATCACACCTTACCCCTGGATCAGCCGTGGTCCTGCTGGCAAGCCTTGCCTCAGCGCCCCTGAGCAGCATCTCCATGTTGCTGGCAGCTGGGCTGGCATGAGGAGGACACTGGTAAACAGTGTAAATCCAGAGACCTGCCCAACTGCTGGCACTGTCGTGTCCTCACTCTGGTCCTGGGGGAAACTCAGGTGGCACATAAAGCTCCGTGCAGGCTGCCTTCACTAGCTGAACCTGCAGCCACAGCCATTCTCTCCACATCAGACCTGACCTTCCCAACAAGAGATGTCTTCCCTTTCTCTCTTTGCTTCTGGGCATCCAGTTGTCCTCAGATCTTGGGTTTCACCAGCACTGCTAGGAGCAAAGATCTGCAAGGGCTGGGAGGTCAGCAACAGAAATGGCCTCTGGTTTCCTCTGGCACTGAGTTGATTCCGCGTTGCTGGCATTGGGAAAAATGTTGTTTGCTTTCTTCCTTTTGTTGTATCTTTATTGTGCCTGAAGCCCCCAACCTGTAAAACACTGAGCTGGTCTGTTAGTGTCATTGTGTTCTGCACTTGGGGAGAGTGGAATGAACTGTGGGAATGTGAGTGAAGCCTGTGGGGCTCAATGGGAATTGCTTTTCAGGATTCTGCTAAGAACTGATGCAAAAGTCTACGTGCAGCAGGCAAATTCAAACCCTCTGCACCAGCAACTCCATCCAAACCAGCTAAGCAAATGCTGCTCAGGTTTTCAGGGCCAGGAGTCCTGTAGGGCCTCAGGCTGGTTCCTCTGTGGCAATAAATGCTGCTGCTGTAACCTGGGGACACTGAGGGGACATTCCTTACAGACAGCAGTTGGACGGGGGTTTTGTACTCAGGACTGTAGAACCAGCTCCAAAGGGTGGTGGACCTCTCCTGGTCATGTAGGACCTTCCAGGCATCACTGGATTGTGTCCATCTGGAGCAGTCCCAGGGCAGGACAGTGCACCTAAGACTGATGGACAGTGCCTGGGCATTGGGTCCCTTGGAGGCTCTCAGCAGCCTTCCACGCTGAGGGCCATTGGCAGAGAGATGTCTTTTTTCCTACTGCTCCTTTCTTCTCGCCTCCTCCATATTTCTGTTGTTCATTTCTTTAAGGCAGCTTTGTGAATTTTTTTTTGTCTTGCTTTGTTGCTGGCTTACTTTTTTTTTCCCCCTCAAATCTTCACTGCAGCATCAGCAGCTTTTCATTTCAGGCCTCACAGTGGTGTAAGGGGGCAGGGCTGCTGCCAGGTAAGCTCCTGGGCGAGCTGAGCGTAGCAGCTCAGCCCAGTCCTGCGTCCCTCTCCCTCGGCAGTCCCATCCCTTTCCCTGACTCCACGCACCCTGACCGTGCTGCTGATCTGCTGTGACCCAGGTTTGCCACCTTTATGTTGCAGGATTGAACTGACCTCTGATCTCACATCTCTGTAGCAAGTACCTTAGGTCCTCGGCCACAAACATTCTTGCAAATCTTTTTGGTAAGGACACGCTGTTTCTTAGCAGTAGTAGTACCACTGATAGCATCTGCTAATGTGGGGTGGGGGTTTTTTGTTGTTTTTTTTTTAATTTTGGGTCTCATTTTCTGGGGGAGGGTTTGTTTCTGAGCCTGTCCTACCTCCCCCACCATCTCCCTTCCCCTCCCTCCTCATAACAGATTAATGAGTCTGCTCCCCTCTGTCTCCATCTCACTTTCCATGAGTGGTCCGAGGGGAATGGGAGCTCCCACCACCACTTCTGTTTCCTGATTTGGAAAATTGGTGCTGTTGAGTGAGGGGGTAGTTAGTCCTAAGGTGTGTTGCCAAAGTTGAGACAGGCTCAGCCTTTACTTTTAGCCCTGTCAGCCCTCCAGTCTTCCCATCAACTGACAGGTTTCTCTATGAAGCTGCCTGTAAGCAACATCCCCAAAAATGCAAGTGAGTCCCCCAGACCCACTTGAGGCTACTTGTGGTGATGAGTAGTCCACAAGTCTTAATTTGGGGACCCCTGATTTTGGAGGTGCCATTGAATGAATTACTTGCCTTTTCCAGGAAGAGCTATAGGACTTCAGACAGGAGAGGACAGGCATGGGTTATTTAACCAAAAACCCACTTCTGCTCTAACCTGCATCACTCCAGAAGTTGTGGTTATCTTGTCTAGTATTCGCTTGAATCTTGTGGCTTCAAACTGGTGCTAAATCTGGGGACTAAAAGGGAAAGGAATGTGACCTTTACTGAGTGATGCAACTTCCTGCTTCTGGTTACTTCAGTCTTAAAAAATAGAGGGACTCCTCAGTGAGGGAGGAGGACAGTAAATCTAGTTGCCAAATACATCTGCTCGTGTGGTGGCTGTGCTTGATCACACCTGGAGGGTCACCGGTACTTCTAGAACAGAAGCACATGGTGTTGGCTCCCCTGGGGGGGAAAAATAGTCTGGGCAGGAAGGGGAAGAGTGCAGCGGAAGGATACAGCCCTTAGTCAAACCAGCACAGCCTGTTTCCCAAATCTTTCTCTTCTGCACCTGAGACTTTTGGCCATCTATGGCCAACTGTAGCTGCCATGGTGCAAAGCAGTAGTTCAGGCTCAGAAATATGACTCGTAGTGGTACAGCTTTCCCCCGTTCAGACAAGGCTGAGTTGTGTAGGCATGAGGCACAGCCCACAAGGGCTGACTCTTAGATGTTGCTGTCCTGGCTGGGCACCTCGTGCAGATGAGGAAAGAAGAGGAAGGGTTCCCCAGTGTGCCTTCAGGGCCTGGCTCGCATAGATGGATTGAAGTGGTCTCTGTCAGCTGCTCTTCAAACCTCCCTTGAGGTGGAAAGAGGTTAGTGGGGATTTTTTTGCCGTTAGAAAAGAGTGTGATCAAGACTCTGTTGAGCACTGACAGCTGCAACAAGGCTCCATTCATAGTAAAAGAAAAAACAACCAGGAGGAATGACTCCCTTGGGTCTCTGCTTTCAGCTTGCTCTTTCCATGAGGCAGAGCAGATCCCAGACAAGTCTTGGTTGGCCTCGGTGGTGCCAAGGGGTTGAGCTGTCTGTGCTCTGTCCTTGCCACTCTTTGCTAGGTTTATTGGATGGAGAAAGGAGAGCACATCCCATCTGATAGTCTGTGGAAAGGTCTCTCCTCACAGTCCTCTCTGTTTCTGGGATTTAAGGAAGAGGAGGGACTGGAGAGCCAGAAGCCACCCCATTGGGCCTCAGCTAGGGCACCCTTGCAGATCCCTTGAGCAGGGTCCAAGTGAATGGCACCAAATGGCTCAGACACGCTCCACTGTTTGCAGGTGCACTCACGGGTGGAGCAGGTGATCCCTCAGACCACAGTCCAGTCTCTGTAAGAGTGAGGAGAAGGTAGCGATGGCTGCCCAACTTCCTTGGGTAATGGGCTCAGTTCCCAGAGCCAGGTGACTCATTCTAGGAGCAAATTGTCCTCCTGCCCTTCAATCCTCTCCTCTCATCCCCTGGCCAGCCATGCATGGGTTGAGGAGACACTGCTTGAATCCAGACTAGATTTAAGCCTAGGGCTCAACTGCAAATTGGAATTTATGCAAGGGGAATTGGATTGGCTGTAAATCTCATGCCTAGTCCTTTTCTTGGTGGTAATTTAACAATGGAAACCCGTCTCCTCCCCAGCTGGGTTCAGAGTACCTCGTGGTTAGAAGGCACTAGATAAAACTGGGCTTGGACTCTGGAGTTTCAGCAAGGCAAGGTGCCCTGGATGGATCCTGGCTCTAGGGAATGGCAGAGAGGAGAGACCTTTCCCTGCCCTGCCAGGCATCCCAGATCGAAGTGGGGATGCAGCTGTGTCTTGCAGGAGAACCATGCTGCAGTCTGGTTTTGAACGAGACAACGCTCGCGATGACAGCTCT